CAGACTGACGAATGCTGATAATAATAAAATTTGAATTTTATTAATTCTTTCATATATTCATTATTAAACATTTGGGAAGGGAATAGTTCTGCAGCTGTTTTCCACTTTCTAGCAAGGCCTTCTAAATTTTACATATTGCTCACGATTTATATAGCATACGAAGCTGCAAACCAGCTTTCTAATCCTGTTATGTTTGTAAATGTAGCACAAGAAATAACTGTAAAACTAAACTTGCGTTCTCCTTGAGGCTCTGCAACCATGCAATTACATGGACAAGACAGCAACAACCAAACTTCCATAATCGTACCTGTGTGAAGTAGTTTCTTATAGCATGCTGAATGCAATTAATTATTAATATCTGAAAAGAAATGGAAAACAAAAAATGACATTTTAAAATTAATCCTGCCGTTTATGAAATGAGTTTAAATACTAATTTTTGTTGTTTTATTTTGAATAATTTACAGACGCCAGTGTTTTTTTAAGGGAATAAATTCCAAACGCCAATTTTTTTTTATCAGAGTTTAATATCAAACGCGAATTCCCCCTGAAAGGTTCTAATTACAAATGCTAATATTTTTCTTTTATAATGACTGGAAAATTTTATTACGAACTCTATTAATTTTTTGCTGTTTTATTTTTAATAAATTCCAGACACCAGCGTTTTTTTTTTTTTTTTTTTTTTTTAATTTTATTTTTTTTTTTTATTAAAGGAATAAATTTTAAGGTTTTTTTTTTTTTTTTTTTTTTTTTTTTTTTTACTTCCTTGTACGAAGTAAAAAGGAAGTATTGTAATCGCGAAAAGTTTCAGGCAGCATATTTCAACGAAAATATCCATTTTGACCGCTATCGAATGCAATTTAACGATGTTTTTGCGTGATATCTGTACGTAAGGACAGAATAAAATACTCTTTTCCTTCAAAAAAAATTATAAAACTGCTTTAAAATTAATTCTGAAGAGAATTTTTCGTGGCGTCTGTACGAACGTATGTACGTACGTTCGTGCGTACGTACGTATCTCGCATAACTCAAAAACAAGTAGCCTCAGAACGTTGAAATTTTGTATATAGGACTGCTATAACATGTAGATGTGCACCTCGTATTTTGGTTGCAATCGGCAGCACCAAACGTATATAAATATATTTATATATATAATCCACTCTACTACCCGGCTCGGTAATCTCAGTTTCTTTACTCTTATATGTTTGTAAATTGTACATTTTTTGCTTTAAAAATGATTGAATTATGTTGTTTTTACCTTCCGGTTAAGGATTTTATGCCTGTAGTAAATCCGTGTGCACTATTTTAGAATTATCAGCAATTTTAAACTTGTTTAATTGCCGCCAAGCCTGTTTTTAATGGCGGCCATTGATGTTTACATTTAAAGCAGGAGACTAGTGGATTTGTTGCCAATCTAGAGAAACTTAGCTTCGCAACAACAAAGATAACGCATTCATTTATTATTGCCAATTAAATAATGTTAAATTATTTTTGGAATTTTTTCGAGGAAATAAGCGTTTGAGATTTACTTCGTAATTTTGAATATAGATATTTTGAGTTTTTATGTATTTTTGCCTTCTCGCGAAGTGAGAACTGAATTAATTAAATGAGAAATACTCAATCGTCTGTGAAAAACTGTTTCTGTTTTGTTTTGTTTGCTTAATTTCTTTTATACATAGTTCTAGCTTTATTATAGTATTTGAATAGAACATGTGGCAACGATTAGATAATTCTTTAAATGATATACATTTCGTGCATTCTGAATTATAATATGAATGAAATATAATACTGTTAAGTAAACCTAGCGCCAGAGTGTCGCTATGATAAACAAAGTGAATTTTAAAGAATGCATTTATTCTATTGTGGTTTATGCGCTGTCGGCGAAGTAGGTTTAATTCAATCTAATAAGTTTAAATAAAATGCAAGAAAAAATGCGTATAATTTAATATTCCGTACAAGGAAGTCATGTGGTGTACACATCAGATTTTTTTTAATCAGAGTCAAACGCGTCCTCCTCCGAAAGATTCTAGTTCCAAATGCTAATTTGTTGTGATATAGTGACTGAAAAATTTTATTACAAACGCTATTTTTTTCTGTTTTATACTACAAAATTTAATTCTAAATTTAAAAAACAAATTTTTTCAGTTCAAAGGGGCGTTGGCTCAGGAAGGCTATTAGTCTGAAAACGGCATGTTGCGTCGATTCACTATAAACGTCCGTTTCACTTTTCAAATTGTTGCCACTAAATATTATCGCAGTTATGTATTATTATGATTTAATCTCTTTAAGAGAAATGTTTGTTGCTCATGCTCACTTGGTCTGACGTATTGAGCCCAAGGCCATGAAATCCTCGTGGCAAGGAGCGCTAGATTACGCCTGCCGTTGGCAATAGCTCAGTTCCGCCCCCAATTTCGATGGAGAGCTCCCCGGGGACGGGTTCCAGGGTCTCTCACCCTTCTCCCCTTCCACCAAGCCACACAAGAGGACTTTCGGCTCGCCGCATATTTAGATTGCCGTCATGTCGCACCGACACTTAATGTTCCCAAATGTATAGCGTTGGAACACATTTGGGAACATCCATGCCTTCTCCGGGATTCGAACCCGGCGGTTGGGCCACCTCATCCCCATCCTCAGTCGCTTTTAAAAAGGGGGGGATTATATTATAAAGTATTTCTTCCGCCTTCTTGGGATACTTTCAGCCAGCATACTCGGCGCGTATTCGAGAGGTCCGAGGTTCGAGTTCCGGCGAGGGCATAGCTCATGTTTCACGTCTCCTGCTTCGAAATAACCTAATGTCTCTTTAACATAAGGTACTATTTTCTCCCTCCTTTTCGCATGCCTTCATGGTATAATTGGAAGTATAGCCGACGAGATCCGAGGTTCGAATCCCGGCGAGGAATGCACATTTTTCACTTCTCCTGCTTCCTCTCCCCCCCCCAACTCTACGAAACGACTAAATGAAAGCTGAATACTAAATATTTCCGACGAACGCATTACGTTGTAAGTAGCAGCGATTGCCAAAATTCAGACTTTTATTGAATTTTATCCGTTACAGGACAACAGACGCCAAACAGCATCAAACTTATATTTCCGACTAGTAGGTTTATGTGGATTCAAGTGGAGAGACCAGAATAAGGACAAAAACCCACTCGGACAAATCTTAGCCGCACATTGTTACCTATTGGCTACTTTGAAATTAAATGTATTGATTTACATCTTATAACAATATTCTTATTTTCAAAATACGATTGTCAATAAAAGGCTTTTAAAGCGTGCGATTAGCCAATCTAGATACGTACTTTTTATGTTTAGAAATATTTATCACGATATTGACCTATGATGGAAACGATTTCTTTTGTTCTGTGTTAATTTCAAATAGTAAAATATACTGCATTTTTTAGACATAAAAAGGATGTATTCCAAACCAGTCGATAAGACTAACATGGTCTTTTCCCTCAAGTGTAATAATACTTTTTTCATTTGAGTAAGTGAGAACATTAGTCTTCCGAAACGTATAACCCTTTTATTTTATATTAATTTTAATTGTTATGATAAAATATTCAAAGGCTCTATATTTCAGCAGGGATGCCTTTATGGAAGCCTTTTCATATCCTGGCGAATGGGTTGGCTGCATGGGAGCTTTTGCGGTTTTTCTCTATGTATAATGTGAATACGAATCAATTTTCCTTAAAAAAGTCTCCCACGAAAACATCCTCTTTCTAAGCAGCCTTCACGCACTTTTCCTTTAATCCAAATAAACTAATCCTAAGGAAAGCTGGCTGATATTCACATTGAATTTTTGGAAAATCAAGGAATGCTCATGCATCTGTTTATGCAAACAGACCACTTTAAAAAGAATTCCAAACAGATACATTTCTCAATGCACATTGCAATGGGAAAAAAAAAAAAAAAAAAAATGACTACTGTATATTAAACCGCAAAAAAGTGCAATTTTCAAATGAGCTATAATTCGGTGAAAGAACTCGCTCTCTTTAGCGTTTATACGAGAGGGGTGGAAAAAGAAGCCTAATATGAGAATGATGATCAAAAGTTGTTTCCAGTTTGACCTAAATCGGGAATACTCTCATAAAGGGTGATTTTGGAAAAAGGCCATTTGGGGCATCACCGTTTTCCAGCAGCCTTTTTTTTTTTTTTTTTTTTTGTAATGTTGTATAATCGCACCTATACGGTAATTAGCAATCGATAAGTTATAAAAGAAGGACAATCACGTAAATGCGTAAGGTTGAAAGTAACGTTCCCTAGTCTTGATCTAAGACTTCTCATTGCACTCAATAACGCTAGTCAACCATTCTCTTTTGACAATAACATCAATACCCACCCGCGCTATTACCAGTGGTTGGGCCCACGCGCTATGCAAGGTCATACCAGTACACCAATCCACCTCCAGCGCCCGAAGCGGAGGCCCCGGCGATTCTCCTTCCCTTGTGGATGAGTGGATGTATGAATGTATGCACGCGATCGAGGGGGAGAGAGAGGAGGGGAAGAGCCGTGTTGGGTATCCCGTCGGAGGGGGAGGGGAGAGGATAGTGGCAGCTATGGTTGCTTGTTGGCCAAGTCCAGTAACGTCAGTTCATCTCCTTGTACTTAGATATGCTGCAGTGGACGCCGTATTTGAAATTATATCAAGTGTTAGTTATTTAGTGAGTTCGTATCTGTGACTTGTCTTTCCGAGTTGAAAGGTTTAATTCATCCCCACTATCATGTAAGAACTTGTAACGGAGATGGAATGCTTGTCGTTGTTTTTGTTGCAGTTGTAATAGTGTTGGGAAGTACGAAACGCACGTGGAAAGTTTTGAAAAAGACGTGCGCGTGGAAATTCATGGATTCTACACCTGTTGGTGTGTTATTTAAATAAGACATTTTAATATGGGGATGACGACAACTTGACCATTAATGAAGCCTATGTTTAATCACGGGGTAGGAATCCCCGGTGGGCCAACAAATGACCCTTTTTACTCATCACCCTTTTCGTCGTATTTCAGGAGACATACGCCGTACTTCGGGCAACCGGATTACAGGATTTATGAAATGAACAAGCGCCTTCAGCAGAGAACTGAAGTAAGTTTATTGAGTATTATTTTGTAATTCTAGTGTTTTATAATTGAATTACTGGTTGCAGTGAATAAATATTTTTTCCAGTACAATTTTATCATTTTTTTTTTTTTTTTTATTTTTTTATTTCGAAGTAGTTATGTATGTTAAGATAGAAGGATAGGTATTTTACCTATTAAAATTGTTAGAAGTATTTTGTTAAAAATTCATTGTAATTCTATATGTTAATGGAAATATTTGCGTTGTATCCGTACTAATATTAGATGTTATGTAAACCGTTTTCCTCAAACTTTTAACGTGAGTATTTAGATCAGAAGGTAACGTACTTTTTTAAGACATAGAGTAGAAATTGATAAATGCGAGGTAAACATCAAAACTAGCTGTTTATGATAATTAGGAACATATAAGGCATAAGGGTGCTTCGCAATTTGAGAATGTTTGAAAAGGCAAACCTTCATAAGGATATCATGGCATAAGAGAAAATGCTCAAACTGGAGAGTACCCTTATGTAAGTCAGTTGCTGTTTGAAAAGACAGAAACTTTTATAAGGGAGCATGTACAAACTGAACATCCAGTTTCTAGCTTGCAAAAATGTCTCCATAAGGATGGCACACTCCTATTTTAGGCATCCCTGTGGAAGTCCAGTTTTGGTTTCACTTAATAATTTGTTAACTAGGGCATGAAGTAAGTCTTACAGCTTATTTAAAATGGGGAATTAGCTTAAGAAGGTCTGCACGAATTGCTAAACTGTTATAAATCTTTCAACATTTTTATGAAAAATGCCATATTGGAATAAAATTGCTACTGTTTTCATCAACCAAAGCAGTTAGTTATTAGGGTAATGTTTCTTGGAAGGGATTTGGATAATTCATTAATATTAAACCTTATTTTTTTTAATGAAAAACTGCTATATACATAAAGAATGAAACAAATGCAAAAATTTAATTGACATATTTGTTGTTAAATCTGGAATGAGTACAGATTGTAGAGTAATAAAATGAATTATACAGAATCTTAAATATTCAGTTTTTTATATCTTCAATATACTAATTTAAGTAACCCATCTAATTTTCTTTTGGCTAAAAAGTATGCTTCGATTTCAAGCATAAAAAGAATTTACTCTTAGTAAGAGAAATAGGATCATTTCTCTTCCCATTAATTTTTCTGTTTTCTAGTGTTTCCAGGCTCTTTTGTTATTTTTCAAACTGTAAATGTTTTCAAACTGTATCATGATTTACCACTAATTTTTAATCTTTACGCAGTTCAGTATTTTTCCCCCATAATTTTCACGTTAAATGTAATAAACAATTAACTCACAAGCACACAAACACTTAGATCCAAGAACACTGAGTGATCCGACATGGGGATTCCCCCGAGTCGAGCCGGATGGGATGCGGAAATGGCACCACGCATACCAGCAACCTGGCTCGTTGCTTGTTACTCGAGTCAGTGCTCATATTTAGAGACAAAATTTTCATTCATACTTTCCTCGTATCTCGTATATAGAGGTGGTCGTATGTTGAAGTTCCACTATAATTATTAAGCAAGGGATAAAGTAAATCTTTGATACCTTTTTGAAAAACAGCACTTTGCATATTCGTACATCCGTATGAAAAGTGCTGATTGTTATAAAGCTGCCTGAATTTTAAATGCTAGATTGGCATAATGGTGCCAAAGAAAATACAGTCAGTATGTATGCAAGAGAAGGAAGTAAATGCAAAAGAAAGGTGAAGAATTAGGAATACGAAGCCAAATGAGCCATTTCTCTGTCAGTATTGCAAATATTTAACTAAAAAGAAAATGTAGAAAGGTGTTAAGAAAAAAAGAGTGGTCATTATAGTGTCCTGCTTAGTAGTCATTATAAGTGTCCTGCTTGTATAAAGGAAATGCATATGGTCGAACGTAAAGATGATTTAGATGGCTTTGGCTTTGAATGGGTATGTTGTAAGAAAGATTCATGCAAAAAATGCCACCAACAGTCGGACACTTCGGATTGGATATTTTGACTCTTATTTTTGTGAATTTATTTGGTGACGGCAGTATGCGTATTCTAGTTCAGATCATTTTAGAAAGTTTTTGGATGCTGTTAAGGAATTTTGTGTGCCACAGATTGAAGAAACAGAAATTTCTAAATATGGTAAGTCAATTATTTCCTTTTTGTAGTGCTTACATGTATTTCCTTTCTTATGTTATTTTATCGTGTGATTTTACTTGCAGCTTATTGAGTTCCGATTGGCTACAGATTTTGTTCAGTTTTGGTGACGAGTAACTTTGTTTTAACATTTTATGACATCATCATTCTCCTGATTTTTTTTTTTTTTTTTTTTTTTTTTTTTTTTAAGTGAGAAAGGTCTATGTGTATGTAATCTAGGGAGTGTGCAGTGACGAGTTTGTGCGATTTTTCTAAGTGAAAAAAGATTGATGTGTACATAGACACCGAGTTTGGGCAATTCTTTGATTTGTTATTTTGGTTTGTGTAGCGGCCATCTTGAAATTGTGCTTTAGTGGCCAATCGCCTAGGGACACTCTGAAATATATTTTTACCATGTTATGCCATTCTGATGTTTTTCATAAAAGTATGGGCACATTTTATCAGAATCTACCATTTTTCTGAAAAGTGCAGCCAACTTTATAACTATTCAGTATTTCTCACAAGGATGCGGGCATCTTGATGCAAAAGCCCGATTTTTCCTAAAGATGTCAAAGATTTTTTTCATCCTCTGCTTAATTAATTAGTTGGTAATTGGAAACTGATTTTTAGTTCATGCATTATGAAGATGATAGTCTTTTCGAATAGTGGTGACTTGCATAAAGGTGTGGTATCTGTGCTAGGGTGCACAGGTGCAGAATGAAACACATGAAGCAGTCCCAGCTGACTTGCATGAGTGTGCTGTGCCCTAAAATAAGCAGTGTAGCATATTGGAATCATCATTAGGTCTCGATGTAATTTCCATCACATCTAGCATTCTTTGATAACATACGTGCAGCTACACAATACCTTCACAATGGCAATTGTTGGAAGCAAAGAAGTCCATGGAGTGCATGCCACAGGTCTACCTCATTGTCCTCATGATTTCCCATGGAGGTTGTCCAGATAAATGGAATAGTTGGTAATTTGTGAGTGTTAGGTTTGATGAGCATGGAGTCTCGTAGCCAATTCACTGAATGGTGTTCCCATTTGTCTCATTATGTTTTGGAATTCAATTTTATTCTCAAAATTCTCTTTTATTTAAAATTTTATAATCAGTAATACAGTAAGTGGCATTATTGTGAAAATAATTAGGAGCCATTTTTACTTAGTATCTTATGTTTGTTCAGTGCATATATGTAATTTATTGGTCAAAAATTTAAATATATCCAATATTATTGAGCATGTTATAGACATTATGAAATATTTTAGGAATAGCCAGCTTGTTCAGGCCAAATTTAATGACTTGGCTTTAATATACCATCTGAAGTAAGCTGTAATTCCTTGAAAGTTGTATAAAGAACTGGGCAGTTTTGATGTAAATTTTGGAACAGAATTGAGATGCAACAAACAAGAATATTCAGTCAAAGACATGGCAGTCAGTGAAAGTAATTTCACTTGCTTTGGATAAAATTCGAAAGTAAATTTGCAGCATTATTGAAGCTGTTAAGGTTTGGAGAGATCCTGAAAACAAGCTCAAAAAGCATATATAAAATTTATGAGTAAGCACCAACATGAGCATATTTTCCAGTAGTATCCTTGTATATTTTTCATAGCATGCATCCAGCAGTAGAACAGCATCAGCATATTTTTTAGCATATATTTTATTATTGAACTCTAGCATCGAAGCCTTGAAAAGAAAACAGACATTGGAATTAGTAAAAAAAAAAAAATGCACGGAAGCTGCTTTGGTGACCATTATATTGAAAAATTACAATCTGTATTTGATTTTTTTTAGTGGAACCCTTTTTGAAAAATTTTTGATTGAAGGGATTGAAAAGGCAGCAAAATTTTTTCTTCATTTAAAACATTGAATGAAAATAAGTACAGTCAAAAGTCGTTAATCCGGACTCGTCGGGACTTCGGCGATTCAGGATTATCGATTTTTCCGGATTATAGATCATCAGTTTAAATCACGTAGGATGGCATGCAGAAATTCTAAAATTAAAAATATGAAACCGTAATTTATGAAATAAGGAACAATTATAATCTAAAGGGTATCAAAATTTACAAAAAAAAAAGCTTAATATTTATTTGTTTACTTTATTGAACATTTCTTTCAATGTAAGTTGTTTCGTTTTATGTGATAATACTTTCTCTTTAATTCTATAAACAGACATAATTTTTTGTTCACTTACAAAGTTCCGCTGTTCAAGTCCCGTTAATTGCTGTGCCGAGAATACCGACTAACTTGTCAATCGAAATTTTTTCGTTTTCACTAACCTCTCTGTCACATTCTTCATGTCTTTATCCATTTTTTGCAGCAATTCCACTTCTTGTTTGATGGACATCGAAACATACTTTCGTTTTGTACGATCCTTTGGGAGCTCCAGTATCAAAAATTCTATTTGACATAATCGAAAGTTCAAGTTTACTTTTTTAGTATTGCTCTTACAGTCTGCAAAAAATAATAAGCCGGATCCAATTTGAAAATTAAGGAACAACGCAATCATCAACATTAACTGAAATAGATAATTATATAATTTTAGCTTACACCGTCCGTTATACATAAAACGCGCACGTGAAAACGTATTCTGCGCTTGCGCACACGCAAATGCGCAGTCGTAAGAGGTCTTACGCGCATGTGTCAACGCGGAGCATGCGCAGAAAGTTTTTAGCTTTGAGGTCCGGATTATAGATCATTCCGAATTATGGGTGTCCGAATTAATGACTTTTGACTGTAAAATGCGATAAATTATTTTGGAAAAGTTATGTGATTGCAGTTGTAACATTCTGCTATGTTTATATTTACTGTAATTGTTTATATATATTTGTATAAAATATACTATTTGCAAGAATGTATTTATTTCTTTGTGTATCAATATGTAAGAAGTGTATGTGAGTTAAGACGATTAAAGTGACTTTGCAGGTTACTAATGCCAAAATGCAGCCAAGATATTTAACTATGTTTTATGCTACTATTATATTTTTTAAAATAAATGAAATATTTTATAAAATTCTCTTTTTAAATGTAAAATTTACTTTGTATACAGGATAGTGATAATTTATGGTGGGATGCGTTTGCTACAGAATTCTTTGAAGACGATGCCACTTTAACCTTAACATTTTGTCTTGAAGATGGCCCAAAGCGATACAGTAGGTTATTTTCTATAAATTAATTTTTAAATTATAATGTCTTTCTTTGTGATCATTTCCTTTCTTTTTAAAATTATTTATTATTAAATTTTCAGCTAATTTTGAGAACAGAAGATACTACAAGGGTTGGAACTTCAATAGTGGCAACTATTTATTTACAAGGAATACAAAAGTGATTCATATCACCATGTTTTACAGTCCTTCAATATAGTCGCCAGCATTGTGTATAACCCATTTCCAATGATGTGGAAGTCGCAGAATACTTGTAGCAGCGCTTGTTTATTTGATAGTTTGAATGGACCGGTCTACTGCCGCAAGAATCTCGGGAACAGTTTGGAAGCAAGTGCCACGAAGTGGTTCCTTCATCTTAGAAATTGAAGTCATAGTCACAAGGGCTTAGATCTGGGGAGTCTGGTGGATGGTAAAGCACTTCCCAGCCCCATCGCTTGAACAAATCAGTCACAGCTTGCGCTGCATGCAGCCGAGCATTGTCATGCAAAATGAGAGGAACGTTCTGCAGAAAGTGTCGCCGTTTTGTCTCAAAGCGGGTCGGAGATTGTGCTCCAAAAATGACCAGTAATACTGCGCAGTGACGGTCTGCTGTGGGGGAACGGTATGCGTTAGGATGACACCATCACAGTCGTACACGAGAATCACCATAACTTTCACTTTGCTGGGGTTCTGACGAAATTTCGAACGTCGTGGTGATCCATGATGACGACATTTGTTTGATGGCGTTTCAGTTCTAGCTGGTACGATCGGGCCCAAGTCTCATCCAGCGTAATGATACGGCGTAAAAAAGCATCTCCTTCGCGCTCATAGCGCTCCAGGTGGGTTCGGGCAGCATCGTATCATAGCCATTTCTGCACTTCCGTCAATTGATGTGGAATCCATCGTGAAGCAATTTTTCTCATGGACAGGCGTTCCTTCAGAATGTGCAGCACAGTCGTATGCGCTAATCCTGTTTGTTTGGCTAGCCGACGAATCGTTTGCCGGTGATCACTGTCCATTAGTGTGGCAACAGCTTGCACGTCTGCATTGCTGACACTCGGACAACCTGGCCGCAGCATATCTGCCACGTTTTGGCGTCCTTCATTGAATGCTTTCACCCATCTTGCTACGGCTCTGTAAGGCAATGCAGATTCCCTGCAAGCCTCTTGAAGCCTTTTATGACACTGTCGTGCTTTACGATCTCTGGCACATTCAATTTTTATCCAACATCGTTATTCTTGTTTTGAAAACATCCTGACAACACTTACTTTAGACCGTGAGCTAATATAAGGATCCATTCTTCGCGTCACTCCGCATGCGTGTGACGTAGGCAGAACGAGTCTTTTTGCTGAGAAGTAAGGTAGGTATGTAGTTCACGTGTGGTAAACGCGATATTCATTGGTTTTGTTGCGTAGCGTTTTTTCAGTTGTGTTGCCACTATTAAAGTTCCAACCCCCGTAATTACAGTCTCTTTATTCTCTTCTTTATGGGCATTATTCAATATAAAATATACTGAGAAACAAATTGTGGTACTTGTTGACCAGTGCATTTGGCAGCATTTATCACTACACAGTACAGCAAATCAAAATTCATATACTAAGAATTTTTTTTATGTTAGAGGGAATATTAAAAGATTAAGAGAATTAATATTGCAAGTATAAGAGTAGGCTTTAAGAGCTTGCTGAAAATATCAATTCAAGGAAGAGAAGTTAGTGATGTCTTAGTATCAGGTAATTGATCACCATAGTTTCAAGAAACAGCAGAAAAAAAGAGAGAAGAGTTAAAATTCTCATCATTTCTTTGAAAAAATACATATGCAAAATTGGCAAACTTTTTCTATTTATTCTCCCTTTTCATCTTTTTTGATTTGCTGTGGATGTATGTTAAAAATAGCTTCAGTACATCATAATTGCTTTAATTGTAGAAATGAGTTATTGATATATATCAATAAAGTTAGATGATTAAAACTGTATTTAACTTAATTTTTTTCATCGGAACCACAGTATCACTACGACTTTTAGGCAAAAGCATGAAGAATTTTCTTTTTACCTTACATACAGTAGTTAATTTTAAATTTATCTATTCGTAGCCATTGGAAGAACTCTTATACCTCGTTATTTTCGAAGTATCTTCGAAGGAGAAGTGACGGACTTATATTTTAGTCTAAAGCACCCTAAAGAATCTTTCCATAACACAACCATAACCTTAGACTGTGATCAATGCACAATGGTTGCACACCATGGGAAGCCCATGTACAATAAAGTAAGTAATTTTATTCTGTCTCCACTAATGGAAATCCCAAATAATATTTATGAATTTTTGAAGAACATCTAATATATAAAATACATATGCTTTTAAATTTTATCATTTGTTTGTATTTATATTTAAATCTCTTTCAAAAGTTGAAAGACCAGAGAGATTGGCATAAATTTGAAAAAAAAATTAAAAATCTGCATAGTGTGGGTCTATAAATTGTGCAGGTTGTAGAATTTTGCAAATTTCAGATAATAAAAGAAAAATCTTTACTTCTTTTTTATAGTAGCCTTGGTGACGGGAAAAAGTGTCAGGCTTAAGAAAGTGCAAATTATTACAGATGTTATAAACAGCCGCAAAAACAAAATAGTCTAAATAATAACTAGTGCAGATTGGCACTTTATTCGGGTGAAGCGCAGAATCGCCCACTTATTTCGGGTGAAGTGCAGAATCGCCCACTTATTTGGTGCTTTTTACAATAGTAAGAAGAATTGGATTTTCATCAATTTCCTTTGTCTTTTTAATTTAAGTGAAAATACATCGGTGAGTACATGGACAAAATTAAGAGTGTACGCAATGCCGAATTTGTGCAATTCTCTGATTTTTTTAAAGTGAAAATATGTCGATGTGTGCATGGATACCGAGTTTATGCAATTCTTAAAAAAACACGCCAAGCAGTGGGTAATTCTGCACTCTTATTCAATATCTACACAATACAGTTTATATAGTATATATATATATACGCATTTAATATAAATTTGTTGTAGTATTTAAACTAATTATGTAAGCAGTTTTATTAAAGTAAACAGCATGTATAAACATACTCAAAATTTAAATTTTAACAGATACTTTCTAGTGGCCACAGTTCAGCATTTGCTATTAATTACACAGTGCATTATCACGGCTGGCATGATGTCTGAATTTGGATTCTGCTAGCTGGATACTTAAGGTGCTGGCGAGGCATTTCCTGGGTTTTCTATTTGACCATTTCCTTAATTCATATAAGCATTCTGCTTTGTAATATCTTTTTCTATCTGGACATATTGAAAATAGGAAGCATATTAAATACTTAACCAGAGTGAGTTGCCAAAGTAGAAATAAGCATATTAAATAATTAGCAAATAAAAACCATAAAAAAGAAAATTTAAAAGGTAAAATTTTTACTAACTGCAGAAATGTAAATCATATCCCTTTGTGCAAACGGTAAGCCTTTTTTTTCTCACCAAGAAGAAATTGCACCTTATGAAAATTAGACTTGAAAATTCATAATTCGAAATGCAACATACCTCTGTATTTTTATAACAGCTTTGGTGAGAACATCAAGGCTGTTATAAAAGGGATGTAAAAAAAAATTTAATATATATTTTTTAAAAAAATTGTAAAAGCAGTTACTTGATTTTGAAAATTTTTTAGACCAAACCAAGGAAATTGAAAAAAAAAAAAAAAAAAAAAAATGATGAAAAACCTTTATGATTTTACTTTTTACATGCTCCTTACTATAGGTAGACAAAGAGACATATAAAAAGTTATTTTCAATATTTTCAAATAGGTACATTTATAGTACAAGAGAATTTCTGTAATTAACACAGGAAATCTGGAACCAGTGGATAGGCTGATTTTGAATTTTGTTTATAATAGGTTATGTATTTCTAAGTTTTGCTTACAAGTTCCCCTTTCTAGTTATTTGCATGCCTTGTACATGCACAGTTGGATGCTAAAAAAGTGCTAGAACTAAAAATTTTGGATTTATTAAAAGAAAATTTCTCTATTCTTTAGCCTCAATTTCTTTATCAAATTCTTGTTTTTAATGCCAAAAAAATCTTTTCAAATGCTGCTTTCAAGAATCTGTCCCTGCTTTCCCACCTATGTAAATGTTTCTGTCCATCAACACAACATCTGAAAAGTTGTGGCCAAATAAATAAGTTCTTGACTTGTGCCACATCAATTAAAAATTGGTACGAAAGGATAGTGAAATATGCATTAACCCTTTGCGGCATGGTGGGTCAATATATGTCCCACCTAATTAATATTTATTTTCTCAGTTAGCAATTTCCGTTAGAAATTTTCTAATCTTTTAAAAATAATCTATTTTAGTTATTATTGTTCTCAGTAGATGTTACTACTATAACCAGGGCTTAAGTTTATAAGCAAAAAGTATTCAAAATATGATCACAAGAGTGATATCCCTGTATCTCGCATTTTTCAATATTTTAAAAATTTTGGTATACAATTTATGATATGTATGATACTTTTTAATATTCAAAAGTACTTTATTTTCAAAAATCTTAATTGGTATTCAATATTTTATAACATTAATTTTGCAGTTGAAATAAGTGGGTTTAAAATTTGTCCCACCACACACTTGAATTTCCGCTCAATAGATGGCAGCACTCACGATTATTTTTTCTTTTCTTTTTTGCATCTACTTTTTTCGTGATTGCGCGCGCTTTTACATCCGTTGTATGCTCTGATGTGCTAAAATGTCTAGGAAAAAATTAACAACTCAGGAAGCTTTGGATCTTTTTGCTGAATTGCCATCCGATTGCGACTCAAATGCTTCAGATGTCAGTTCTGATTCAGATGAAATTGAAATCCAGGAGAGAATAACTGAGGTTGAAGTTATTGCTGAAGAAGAAAGGGAAGTAGTCATAATTTGTTTCGCTTTTTAAAGACACAGACCCATCTATGCATGTGGCACTGTAAATATGGATCGGAAGTATCTACCCAAAAAGACAAATTTATGTCAAGAAATATAGACTTTTCAGTTAGCGATGATTCAATTTATTGCATAAAATGGAAGGATAAAAGATCCGTTTATATCCTGTCTTGCTTGGAAAAGGCAACTGAAATGAAAGAAATTAATAGAAAAGGAACGAGATGGAAAGACAAAAAAAAAAAAAAAAAAAGTACTGTGCCCAAACAGCATTATTTCATACAATAAGAATATGGGATATGTCGACTGATTGATCAACTGAAAGGACTATATGAAATAGACCGCAAAAGCAAGAAATGGTGGCACATGATTTTTTTTTTTTTACTTTTTAGATGCGAGTATAGTAAACACATTTATTCAAGTTTGTTCGCGAACCCGATCATGATGTAAAAACAATGAAAGATTTTCTTCTCTCAGTTACAGAAGGTCTAATGGCACTTGCAGGCAAGAAAGAGCTGAAAAGAAAACTGAAATCCCCAGTTCAAATAAAAACTAAAAACCCGTTCGTACAACCAGAAAAGAGACTAAAAAATGTAAGTAAAACGCCAAAGAGAACGAGCAGGAGAAGATGTGCATATTGCAGCATATCGAAAGAAGAACGACGAACATTTGGCATGTGTGAAACATGTGAAGTGCCTCTATGCTTACAAAAGAATGAAACAACATGTTTTTCAAAGTTTCATGAAAAGTGACTTTTTTTCAATTTTAGTCATATATAAATGTTTTTGAATCAAGTGCCAATTTTAATATTTTATTTAGTATCATATGTACGAGTATCAAATTTTAATCTTAAAATAATATTCAAGAAAATATTTTCTTTTGTTCCTAAAATTTAAAAATATTAAATATATACTACATGCAAAATGTGCATATGCAAAATTTTACAAGTCATGCATATATGCAATAAGTACAAAATGCATTTTAGTGTGTTTATTATGAATATTTTAGAATGCACGCTTTATTTTGTTTATTCATTCCACATATAATTTTTTTTCCTGCTATACACCAATATGCTATAAGACATGTGCTAGTTGCATGGTGGGACAAACGGTATCCCACCTTCCACCGTAAAAAATAAAAGCGCAGAATTTTTTTCAAGCCTTAAAGGCACTTAAGTAAGTCCATCTGACTTATTCTAAGGCATTTTTTTAAAGATTAAAATATATTTTAAATATGCGTGTCGCAAAGGGTTAAAAAGTAGGAGTTTATCTGAAGGAAAAAATTCACTGAGAAATTTGCATCTAAAAGGCTGGATATTAGGTGTTAGCATATTTTTTATCGTCTACTCTCTCTAAAATTTGGTGGCAACAATTGAAAAAGTGAGTCGCCCTTTATAGTCAATCAATGCAAAATGCCAAAAGGAAATCAATAGCCCTCTGGGGCAAATTGGTCCTTTGGGCTAGAAATACATAATTAACTTAAAGATAACAATAGATTAAGAATACAAACAAAACATTTATTTTTTATCATTGTTACTGTTTTTGAATTTTTAAATGTAAGCAATTTTTCAGAAATGAAATCGCATTCTTATGTACAAAAGTTTGATCATAATTAATGTGATGGCTGTGTGGGATGTATTGATGCATTTATTATTATTATTTGGCATACAGTTGCTTTACATAATTCTTAAATTACCTTGTTTAAAAATATTTGACATATTTCATGTTTTCCATAGTAAATTATTAACTTGACTAAAATGTGTTTCTACTAGATAAGAAGGGGAAAAGTCAGTAGTGTTAGTTTTCTTCTATACAGATCAAAAGCAATTTTTAACATGCTATATATAACAAGTCTGATCTTTGATTGGTGATTGATGTCACCCCCTTCATAATGTTAGCTGATTTAATAATTTTATCTAACAGTTATTACTGTTAATGTGCATGTTTCTTACAAGAAGCAATGCCTGATGAAATTTTAAATTGCTTTTAAATTCCTGCAAAATATATAGCTAAAAATTGTTTTATTTGTTATATTTTGTATTTAATTGACTGGTAATTTTGATTGCTGAATGCTGATAGTTCGAACCCTGGCAAATGGCTTAGATTCATTGTTAGTTTTCATAGTTGTCCCCTTGTCTGGTGTTTCCACTGAGGCATTCCTTTAATTCGGTGATGGTCCTTATAGGGCTTTGACATATTCAGATAGCCTCTTTGTGACCTTTGTAATTTTTATAATCATTTACCATTAAATTATGTTGTGTGTTAGTGTTTGTAATGCTAGCAAGGTCACAGATCTATATGTATATATTTTTGCAGATTTTAGGTGGACAGTATCCAAATGAACTTATGAAAGAACAGCTTGCCAAAGATAATGCTGTTGTGGTAAGCATAGACCTTAATAATTCAGGAATTTTTCTTTCCCTAAACTCTGTTTTTTCTTTCTCTTATGTCATAATATTCTTATATATACACTTGAATATTCTGTCAATGGACTGCCACAGAACTAAAGCTTTTGTCTCTTTTGAGGGAGTGAGATGTCTGAAATAAATCTGTTGTACATGTAGGAAGTTTTAAAACACCCGTAATATAAATTCTGTAAAGAATATAATTTCATTAACATGTTGAGCCCGCCGGGGTCAACCGGCACTGGAATTTTTGTTTTGCCGCCGCCTGTCCCTGAGGACCAGCACTGGAATTTTCATTTGGCTGCCGTCAGCCCTTAGGACCAACAGTATTAACACCTCAAAAAAGTAACAAAGCTGTTGGTAACAGATAAGCTCAATTCAGTGCATGAAGTCACGGATCACCCTGCAACATTGCACCGCTTGATCGTTCGCGTCGGCTGAACGAAAAGGACAGCAAATTCGGCACCGTGCTCAACGTGTTAATGAGATTAGAAACAATTATATCTAGTTAACTTTTCCTAACTTTGATAAGTTTGAAAGAGAATAAATGAAATAAAAAAATATTCAAGTCAAATTTAAAAAAATGAATACATTTAGCAGTAATATAAGAATAACAATAGATGAGCATTATAGAAAACTAATATCAGTCTTGCCTATATTTGCAAAGTTCTATATCAGTATTTCCACTGATAAGGGAATGTTTTAAATACCTTTTCATTTTTATGAAGTCTCCAGTTTTTCAGATTTAATTATTCTGTTCATAAATTTTCAGCAACTGCAGTGTATTTTTCAGCGTTAATTTCATCATCATTGAACACTTAACTGAAGGAAAATCTCTAAAATTAATTTTGAAGAATGTCAGCATATTACTTTTGCACTAGGTTTGACCTGACATTTAACAGCTTTTAATAGTAAGAAAGTTGCATCTAAAGCCACTGCAGCATTTGCTTTTTGCAAATCTGTTCATGTTGAAATTTTGATAAAATATCCCACAGTGCAGTGTTTTGTATATGATCTTGAATGCTTGAGTCGTTCCTCAAGTCTCTGGATGTTGGCAAACCAATGAGGAGAAGGGGGGAAAAAAGTTACTTTTTTAAAATTAGATTTCTGTGAGATCTACTCTGCACTGTTGCCCATAAAAGAAAAATCCTTCATGCTCTTTCTGATGTTTGTGGGTCAGCTATAATCAGAATCATTCAGTCGTCATAATTATGTGGGAGACCATATATATAGTTACATTAAGCGCTGAACTTTGCACATCCTCAAAGGTTAAAGTATCTTGGCCTTAATTCTTTATTAAATGGTTTGGAAAATCACCAGTTATATTGTAGCTCATTGTGACAGTACTTTTTTTTTGGGGGGGGGAGACATTATCACTAATATATCCTTCTAAATAAGAAGAATTCTGATAAGAATTGTTGTATTCAGACTGAAAATATTGTTAGTTTGGAAAATGACACATAAGCTTTCAAATTTTTCAGTTTGTTTTCTTCGTTCAAGAATTTTTAATTCATTTGATTTATAATTAGAATTAAATCATTTAATTAAATCTTTATTTCAGAAATGGGCTCTTAGCGTTATTTTTTTATCATAATCCAAAAAGGAATTTTCATGTGCTGAAAGTTAAAATGAAGCCATTGTGAAAGTATCAAAGTCAAGAGATTTTTCTGCTATATTTTCTCAAGTGTTTTTGCCCAAAATAATGCGGTGGTTAATGAAAACTGAATTAGTATGCAAAATCTCTGTTTTATGCATTACCAAATATAAATTACCATTTTATATGCATGGTTGTTAATTACAAATATTGTGTGATTAAAAATTATCCACAGCACTGCACACATTAAATTATGTATTTTTGTTTCTTTGTAACACTAATCAAATTGCTACATCCACTGGTAAGTTGAGCAAGATATGTTTTATTACACTTGGAAAATTTTTTACCATATATATCCTCTTTGCTTTGCTACGCACTTGCACTTTTGAGAAATAAAGCTGTAATACTGCACTCTGTGTGAGCAATAGGGAAAGAAATAAAATGATCTATAGGAAGTTAAAGCTATACCAGTACGTTGTTCTGTGTTGGCTCATTATTGAACTAGCATCGTGAATAAACAAAAAGTGTGAAAGGATACAAAGTAAGAACAAGTGTAACTGGCAAAAACTGATGTGGTCAGCCATCAACATCAGAGCATAGACATATGGGTCCAAAGATTGGATGCCTTGGAGAAAACTAGCAACATAATTAAAATTGATTGCACACTGAAAATTAGATATGGGTATAAGATTATGTTATAGTTCATGATATCTTGAAGCCTACTAACAAATTTTATCTTAAGTATAATTTCATTAATATAATGTTTATTTTTAATATAAAATATTTTGCTAAAAATATGAGTTTCAATTTTAAGGGGGTGAAAAACCAGTTTTAAAAATAAAGTACAAAATGGAAATCATTTTAAATGTAATTGAGTCTACATTTTTGTAGTCTTACTGAAATCTTGAGCAAGGGGATAATTGTTTTTTCTCATTGTTTGTGAATGTGTATGTATGCAACAGGGTTGGCATGCTACCTGGAAAACCGGAAAAAGTCGGGGAATTCGAAAATTGACCAAAAAATTCAGGTAAAAGTTAGGGAATTTAAATATTTTAGTCAAAATCTGCAAAAGTCAAGGAATTTCATACGGCAATCTCCCCCCCCCCAAAAAAAAAGGCGAGTTTTGTGCTGATGTTGGAAGCGATAACTTTCTTGGCAAATTGTGTATCGCGTGAGCGTCATTCGGACAGCTGGCATAGAGCCAGTTTTCACAGCTCCAATTAGATTGTCTTTTAGAAAGGCAAAGCAAGTTTCCAGCAGCTTTACTTTCCAGTAATCTCGAAAATCGCATGCACACGTGCAGTGCATGTTGAACTAAAGAAAATACTTATTCTCGTATAAAACAAAATCGGTTTAATCCTAGTATATGGTACCATGGAGGTTAGAATCAAAGAATATGTATTGTTAAGAAAGAAAAACTTCTCTGCAACAGGAGTGTCTCCGTTCCAACATAGAGGGAAACAGCTGCACACGAAATATCTGTCTCCGAAGATCGAAGCCTGTGTCGGAGTTCTAAGGTCACTTTATCAAGAGTTCGTAAAATGAATATCGTTCAAAATTTCTTTAAAGGAAAAGAAAATGTTTTTCTCGCAAGTAAAGTCATTAATGGATTAGTTATTTTGAGGGAGGGGGAACCATACGGAAATCCATGTTTAAATTATTGCGAAAAAATCAAAAAAAAGAAACATTTTGTCAAAGAAGTTTCTTCTTAACAAAAGTTCCTCAATTTCCTGTACACATTGCAGAGGGAAATTCTGGCAGCCAGGTTCCGTCGCCAAATCCCTTGGCAAATTTTCCCTCTGCTTTTTAGCGGTGTAATAGCATTACGTCTATGGAACCTTTCCTTCTTTACATAGACATTCTGTAGTTAGATTAACCTCCATGTATGTTACACACGGGATTTGGCAACATTATGCTGAGCAGTAAAACGGGTCATTTTAGTGTTGGCAACAATTTTCAAAATCGTTCCAATTTCCTTACCGTATACTAGAATTTTACCCCAAAATGTATTAAAGCTTTTTTTTTTTTTTTAATAAATGCCCTATTTGTCGTTTTGCAGTAAAATAAAAAAATAGTAATCAGTCATCTAGGCTAACCATTTAATGTAACTATATTCGCTAAAATATCGTTGATTATTCTAATTCAATTTTTAAGTAATTATCTTTATTTTTATGTTATTCGTATCATTTAATGTTGCTTCTTCCCTCTAAATTTGTTTATTATTAGTAAATAATACTTTCAAATTTCAGAAAATTTTCTCCGGCATAATCCTGATATTAATTCTAGCAGTATGATGGCATACCATCACGAAATTTAATGCACATATTTTTTCCTTATGTATGCTGCTGAATAATTATAAAATACCTGAATTTATTTAAAAATATCATTAAATAGATTTCTTTCTTTTGTTTAGCTGCAAAATATCTGCAAAAAAAAAGACTTTTTTTAAATCCAGACTGGGCAGATTCTAATCTCAATATTCAGTGGAGAAAACAACTCCTATTATAGTTATAAATGCTTTGGGAATTATATATCTATTATAAGTCATATGTCATTGGCAAATTTGTGTGTTTTCAAGTAATACCATAATTAATTTACCTCTTAGTGCAGCCAACGTGCATTACGTGGATAGACTGGAATTTTCTTAAAACACACCTGGAAAAGTCAGGGAATTTCATTCTCCTGTTTGAGTGGCAACCCTGATGCAATCACGAATTTTATATGGATTGACTGCTATCCTTTTTTTCAGTTTGTATTAATTGTAGCATATATCAATCTAATTAATTCATTATTCTCATTGCTATTTTTTGTTCTCTGGAAAAATACAACAGGAAATTTGATACATTTTTGTAATTAGTTTATAATATATGTTATTGCAAATAACTGTGTTAAAAGGATATATAATGTCATTGTTTCTTTTATAATATTGCCCACCAGTGGCAGAGTAAGTGAAACCATTGAACATGACTTGGATTCAAATCCTGGTGAACAGATGGCTGTGTGATCATTTTCATAATTTCGTTTGTGTGTAATGTTAATATGAGCCAATTTTCCTTAGAAGTGCTTCAATCTCTTCTCTTATCAGATAGATAGCTTTGACATGCTTTTCCATGGTCTAGTAATCAAAGCAAGTGTACAGTAGTTTATATAGCTTTTCCCCTTGATTTTTCATATTATTACTTATCAGCATTTCCTTATTTATTTTCTTTATTAAATATTTCTATCTTATTTTTCTATTAAAAATAATGTTTCCTTTAAAATGTAAAATACAGATTGGAACTTTTTTGTTAGAAAATTGTTAAAAGGTTTTCAGTTGTAAGAACCAAAAAATTTCATCTTTTATTGTCGTAATTTATAAATTATGAAAAATTTAAAACAAAATTTCACTCATTACTTGGAAATGTATGGAATTTTCATTCAATTTTCTACTGTTGTAATTTATTAATTTTGAAATATTTAAAACAAAATTTACTTGTTTGTTATGTGAGAAAGTATGGAATTTTTATTCAGTTTCTGTAGTTATTAAAGTTTCATGTTTCTGTTTCTTAGGTATGCACAGAAGGACGTTTAATACTTGAATTCACATTTGATGATTTGATGAGGATCAAAACTTGGCATTTTGCTACAAGACAGCACAGAGAGTTGGTTCCCCGTAGTTTAATTGCATTACAGGTAACGCAGGTGTTGTGTTTCTCCTCTGGCTTTCATAAATGTCCGTTTCTGTAAATTTGTGTCTAACTTTTAACTATATTAATAGTTACTTATAAAAATGTACTTAATTTTAATGTCACAACAAAAAAAAAGTTATTAGAGAATTATATGTTCATAAAAATAATGTATTATTTCTTTTAAAAATAAATTTATAGTAGTATGAAAATTCCTCAAAAATATAATCTAAATGTGTAATGAAATTGAAATGGCCAAAAGCAGTTTTATTTGTGAGAAATAACTGCCCTTAAATTTTGCCATTTGGAGTTTGTTCTAAAAGGTATATTGAAAATCAAAACTTCCATCTTTTGATGACAAAGAAAGCAAATTTGGTATTTATGTAGTAACACTTGAAAGCAAATTTGGTATTTATGTAGTAACACTTGATAAAAATCACTAATATTTACAAGATGAGCCAAACCCTGCCAACCATTTCCATAAGAATTTTTCAATTTTGACAAACATTGTCAATATATGTAATAATTAAAATTCCATAGTCAAAAATACACTTAAAATTCTAACTGTATGTTCTTTTCATTTTTAATAGTGACAGTCTCTTATTTGAAAGTACGTGGAATTAAATCATAGCCCCGTAGTCAAGTTGTTTTTCCCGCCTTTTCTACACGTACAGTTATAGAATGTTCTGGAGATACTTAAAGCGAACTGGAATGGCTGATGTCATTTCTTGGAAGCTCTGCCTTTCCAGAGGCTATAAAAAGACTCGCAAAGGAATATCGGGGTCTTTTCTTTAATGGAATGATGTAGTAAACTTCATACAAAAAGTTATTAGTAATTCTTTTTAATTTACTCCGGAGACATGAATTTTGTAACTGCTAGTTCTCCTGACCAATAATAAATGGATCCTGTTTTTTTTTTAAACTTATCGTCTGATAATTTAAGCTATGACTACTGTCTGTCTATGGTAAGAACAGCTCTCGCCAGTTTGTCTGCAGCTGTCTGTTGCCGTAGAAACGAGCCCTAACCCATTTTTCGTAGGGGTGTCTTGAAGACTTACTTCTGAGTTTGCCACCTTGGCGCATTTAAAGATGATTTGGCGATATTCACATTTTGTTTTAGTTTCAAGTAAAATGCTTGTTGACCCTTTGCGTCGACCCCGACATCCAATTTCCGAAAATGAAATTCGATGGCGTAGAGTAATAAAGCTTTTGCAGTCAAGAAAACGGTCTTGATTTTGCCGTGTGAGGTACAAGTCGCTGAATTTGCCATCCCTCTAGATGTACATTGAGTAAAAATAAACTTGTAGGGAAATAAATTTAAAAATCTGTGTTTATTTTGAAGAAAAATTTTTATTTTGACATTTAAAAAAATCATGCTATTATTTTGCTTCTTTTTTGTTTATTTGTTTGCTTGCAAAATCATAGATGACATCTTAGAAATCTACTTGATTGCCCCATTCTCTGTAATATAATATAGACGCACTTCATAAATATAAAATAAATTTAATTTTTATACTTCTCCCTCTAGCTGATCTACCGTGAACATTCAAGCAATTTCTTCAGTCTTTAAATGACGTTCTGCTATGTTGTTATTTCAAAATTTTCTGTTAATTTATTGCTTGTGCTTTAATAATGACTAAAAATTTTCATCATTAAATGTATATGGAATCATCTTGAAAGTAAAAGCGTTTTTTTACATACCCATGCTCTCAATAAATACTTTTTGCGAACATTTCTTCTTTTCCCATACCTTTAAACTAAACCAAAAGCTAGTTAATTTAATTGCGGAAGGAAGCGAAGGTGAATTAAAATCAAAACTGCTTTTTCCTTAATTACCAGTGGTTTATATGATTACGGAAAGCCTCCAGGGTTAAATGCCTAAGAGGAGGGATGCCTTCATGGAATTCTTGCTAAGGGAAACTGGCTGTGTGCCCAAAACCGTATCATGTTGCCAACATTTCTTAAAAGTTAAATTGCTGTCAATCCATGTTTCATCGATGTAAACGATGTGGCGTTCACTTGCTCTGAGTTTTCTCATTTCACGTAAATAATTGTTCCTCCAAAATACAATGTGAAGGTCTTTCGATAAGATTTTTTTTTTTTTTTTTTTTTTTCTGTTAACGCATTTCTTCCTAGCGAAAATTCGTTGAACACAAAATCTTTGCACAAAGAGTCCTTTTGTCACGGGAAGTATATTCTTTGCCTCAAGACAGGCAGTAATTTCCGCACAGATGGCGCTTTCCTTTTCTTTGATGTAAAAGTATTGTATTGTCTGCCGTATAACGAACGCGTTTGTCAAAATCGTCAATTTCGCACTTATGATTAGCAGGGCTTTTACATTTCTTTCCAGGTGTATTCACAAGTTTATTTTCACTCATTGTTAATACTTCGCGCTTAATTTTTTTAATTGTATACTCCGATACTCCAGTAGCTTGAGATGTTCTCTTCAAAACTTAAGGAAGAGGAACTACTAAAGAGTTCGCCGAAGCTTCAGAAGCGCAAAATTCTGTGACATTATACACGATTTGACGTGGACCTTTCTTAAACTGGAAGGGCATTTTAAAAAATTGGCGATTAACAAAGCACTACGAAAATCAAGCTAAATAGAAGCGAATTTGAGCAAATGCTAGCACAAAAGATATAACAACGAGAATAAAAATAGCTAATAGTAATAATATAAGGCTAAAGAAAAGATGCGTGCAGCTGGAATGAAGCCGAGAAGACGAATGATAAACTTCCCTTAAGCCAACAGTCGCCAAAAACAAAATAACGATAAAGCAACCATTGGTTCGTCCCTATTTGAAATATACTAGCCCTGTTGCTATAGCGACCGCCACTCGCCAGACACCGTGGCGGGAGCTGTTCTTACCGTAGACAGACAGTACATCTATATTTCTTCACCAATCTATTTATTCCGGACAAAAGCTGGTACATTACATATATATATATTCTTTTTGTTTTTCAAGTTCCAACAATTTTTATAGACAAATAATGATATTTCTGTCTGAAATTCAACTGTAAAATATATGTTTTGACTATTGTCAGCATTGGAAGAAATGGCAATAAAAGTTTTGTAGGATTACGATATTTTGTCCTCAAAATCACTAAACACTTTGAACTGCTTTGACTCTGTTCTTAAAGCGATCTCAGTGCAATATCTACAAGAATAAAAGAAATTGAAACCTCCTTGTAAGTAGGTTTATAGATAAATATTTTATAATAAATACCTAATTGAATTGTAAAATATGCATGAATATAATAAATGCATTTTTTTACCAATCATAAGTCAGCATTTTTTTCCTTCTATTAAAAAAAAATTGCAAACTGTGTCAAGGTGATTATACTAATACTTAAATACCCAAATTTGCATATACCCGTAAAAGTGCATCTTTAAACATAATAATGTTAGTATGTATTTAATGTAATATTCCTAAGCTGAACATTAGTATATTATATATAAAAATGATCTCTATAATTAATAGCAATTTCCACATGTTCTTGAATAATATATGTTATGCTAAGTTTTGACCTGTAAATTCTATGTAACATATTTTAAGTAGAGCTGTAAATGCTAAAAGGAAAATTAACTTCACCCATTGAGTACCATGACTGCTATTTTATTTCCAGTCTTGAAATTTGTGGAAATATATTTTGTTCCTTATAATACTTTGCTTCAATTTAATTTTAAAGGCCTTACACCATGTTACCAGGCCACTTATCTTTCACCTCAAAGGCATTTGACTGCTAATTTATCATCCATGCAATTTTATTTTATAAATTTGGCAAAAGCCAGTTTTCAGACTTAAGCTATTAATTGTGGCATAAAATCTGTTTTTCAAGTTGTTGTTATAATTGATATAATTTAATTTTTTTTGCCTAATTCATTATTTTTTTAAGTACTTATAACATTATTCCATAATAAAAATATTTTTGTTGCTAATAAATAAAAGATACCTCTGATATCATATTTTATGCACTTAGTACAGAATTTTTTTATTTTTATTTATTTTTTTTATTTTTTATGTGAAAGATCTTTTTGATATTTTTAATTATGTTGTAAAACGTTTTTCTTGAAGGCTCAACAACAGGATCCTGCAATGCTTGAACAGTTATCCAAAAATATCACAAGACAAGGTCTTACTAATTCCACTCTCAATTATCTCAGGGTAAGCGTGAATACAGTTATTATTATTTTTATAAATTTCAATAGAAATTACCTATATTTATTTTTAGAGAAATGTTTTTGGTCACATTAAAGTTTATTTTTTGTTGTGTTTGTAGATTTCCTCCCCTTTTTTAATGTTCCAAAATTTCTGTAGTTAACATATACGGATGTTCATTTGAGAACTGTGGATGTATCGGAAAGGAGCTTGTCAGTTTGAAATTTTAAATCAAGCTAAATTCAATTTTAAATTGAGGAAAAAATACAGGAATTTTGAGGAACTCTTGTCAGTCTACCTTAAATTGTATAGTTTTAATATTACAATTTAATTACATTCACTATTTTGAATGAAAATTTACGTATTTTGTATTCTTGCTTTGTTCACTGCTAGATATTTCAATTAATTTTTTTTTTTTAGTATTTTGTAAGTGTAATATATGATATATTCTTTTTTCTGTGTGCTTTGTTGTTGTTTGAATGTTGTTGATTTGAAAGAAAACGCACTTTTAATAAAAAAAAAAAAAAACTTGATTTGACAGGTTTGATTTCATGCTGTTAACTGTGCTGGTATTAAAGTATTTTTGCATGCACTGATGAGGCAAATTTCTTAAAAACTATCAAGTAAACTTAACTGAATTTAATTAACCCTTTGACACGCAGTGATTGCACCTTGAAACCACCAATTTTCGAATTTTTTCCCTCCTCTTCTTTCCGAAATTTTAGAGTGAAATTCAAATGATTACTGATCTTTTGTCTTAAGTAACACAAAATGACTGCAGAATCATACATGTTTTAGGTCTTAGTATTTTGAATTGGATGCCTTTTAAAATTCGTTTTCAATGATATGAAATAACTTCCTTTTATTAATATAAACAACTTTAAATTTCAAAAGTTATTCATTGCACATCATGATTTCTATCATAAACAATAAAAAATAGCAATAATTAAACTGCATATATTAAAAAAACCTATCAATATTATTTATGGCATTTACTTTGTGATTTTAGGACATGACCACTGAGCCACTAGAGCATTGTGTCACGATGCTCACAATCCTCTAGAGGCTCGGTGGTCGGGCCTTGAAACCACTGCTCTTCACAATGGCATTTGCTACTTTTCAAATAGGAATGTTTATTTTTACCCGGATATAGATAAGGGGCTTTGGAACTTCAGAGTTATTTTATTACTAAACAATACATGCACCTGCCCAGTGAAAAGTTCTTTCTTTTCCAGAGATTTTTCTCTGACCTCAACACATTTTTGCTACACAAGCTAGTATTGTGATTTTATAAATTATTTTTTGTGGTTTAAATTTAATGTAAAAATACTTTGCTATAATTAAAAATAGAATTTCTAAGTGTAAACTGTTTCTTTCTAAGTGTAAACATATTTAGAATTGGGTGTTTAGCCTTAATTTCTTTATCTAATATCGTATGCATTGCAAAACTTATTGCATTTTCTTTGAAAAATATTGCATAATTTCTATTCTATTTTTAGTTATGTGTGATTTTGGAACCAATGCAAGAGCTTATGTCCAGACACAAAGCTTATGCACTTAGTCCCAGGGATTGTCTTAAAACAACTTTGTTTCAAAAATGGCAAAGAATGGTAGCTCCACCTGGTTAGTCTGCATTTTTACTATATTTATTTTGTACATGCTTGTAATTTCTGAACAGTGTTTATCAGTATATTTGTTTGCATACTAAAAATTGTGAATTTTTTTTCATTTTTCAAGTAAGAACTGTATATAAGATTTTTAGAAAGAAAAACAATGGACTGTTTCCTGAATTTGAAGTGGGTGTAGTAGCTTTTTTGGAGGCAGCTGTAGGTATAGCAAATCTGTTGAGCACTGATTATCATGCTATGTTATGTCGTGTGTTCTGTGTATAATCTTCTCAGTTTTTAAAGTTTATTAACTATTGAAGTAGCTATAATGTCAATGAAAAGCTAATGAACATTGCCTTTTCGCCATTTTACGAAAAGTTTTAGCTTAAATCATCTCTTAAGTTTATTGTGGAGGTCAAAGAAAGTTTGATTGTTATTGAGGTTAGAAGTTTTAAGCTGTATTAATTACTCGGAAAGAAATGAATTAAGATTTGAAGATCATTCTTTCACAGTTAGAATTGACCAAATACACCAAAAAACAATAATCGAGCTTTTATAATCAGATTGCTGAATTGTTTGAATACCATTGTTTTGGGATTGCCTTTTCATTAGCAAAAATATGGAAAAATTGGTCAGGGTTTCCTTGGAAATTCATCATCAGATTATTGAGTTTTTGAGCATCATTATTATGAGATTGGTTTTTCAGAGAATGCCTTCTTCCGGTATCCAGTAAAATGTTATGGCCTGTATTGGCAGTCCAGTCTAATTCTCTGCATATTAATTTAATACGTGAACTAACAACTGAAAGGGAGGCATTTTACATAAAATGAGGATTCAGAACAGCAGTCGAACATTTTTAAAACTTTGTATTCTGTTTCTTGTAGTAGGTAAGGCATCAGAAAAGTATGTTGAAGAGGATTATAATTTGGATTTTAAATGTTTTATATTTTTCTTAAACATTGAAAATTCAAGCTGTTTTAAATCAAACACACTTGTGAACATTCTAAAAGAGCTGCCATATTTTCTGGTATAAGACACACTTTTTCTTTACAAATTTTGTGTCTTATACTATGGTGGTTGCTCCACCTGATTGCAAAACTCAAATGTTGATGTTGTAGCAAATGAAACCAAGTATGAACAATAGAGCTTCCTCCCTGAGTATATACTAAGTCACCTTTAGGCTAAATATAAGGAACCACAAAACTTGTTCTAAAATAATTTTAAAACAAGACTGTGTATGATAAACTGGTACAATGCATTTGGAGAACTGCACTTTGTGCAGTTATGTACTTGTAATGAGGATGATGGTAATGCAGATGAGGTCCAGCTAATGGATGGAAGTTCTGACAGTGATGGTGAGTTGTATACTGAATAAAAATCGATTTCAATAACTTTATAATATTTTTTCTCTATTAAATTGTAATCCAGCAGACTAATAAAAATCAGTCCATCAAGTATTTTTTTTTTTTTTTTTTTTTTCCCCAATTTTGGATCTCAAAATCAAGTTGCATCTTATGCAAGGGGGAATAAGGTAATTTATTAACATACAGCTAGATTTTTTTTAAGAAGAAATTTCACCTTTTCTGTGAAAGATTGCCAAAGTTCAGCATCCTTCTCAGAAAAGAGGAAACGCAGAAATGTTTTTCATCTGCAAGAAATATTGATTTATGGAATTTTAGTAGAACTGATCAATCAAAATTAACTATTTATGAAACAGATTTGTTGTTCAGTAGAAATAATAGTTATATAAAAACGGGTAGTGATTGGATAAATTTTCTGTGTGATAAAGCATGAAAAAAATAAAATACAAACTTTATATACTTACTATCTGTATAATCACATGCCAATTGTGCAGTAAAGAGAAACATTCATTTGCATGCAAAATAGAGATTATTGAAATGTAATATAGAATGTGATTACTGAATCATGTATTTGAAAATATTTATGAAATATATAAAAAAAAAAAAATCTTAATGTTTCTGTTATGGAAGTGAATTTAAATTCTTGTACTTTGTTAAAAACTAATTTGGTAAATTTTATCTTACTGTGTATTTTTTCCTTTTTAATTGAGTAATTTAAGTATCAATATTGAATATTTAAGTCATATGTTTAAAATTGTATGAAAGGATAAATGGGGTGAATGAATGAATGTGAACTGTAATATTGCTAAAAGACTACAAAAATCATTACGGCACTGTGGAGCTGGGTGCGAGATGGTGGCTTATTCATTCATTAATCTCACTAGGTGCTACTCACCGTGGTGGTCCGAATGACTTTAAAATGCAGCAGGATGTAGGTAGGTCTCAAAAATCAATCTGGGGTCTTATAGTTTTACTAACCATATCTTGGTGATGGTGATACAAATTTTAATTTTCTGATATATCTATTTCATGAAGCTGATATCTCATATTTATGCATTATTTATATATGTATGTCTTTCTCTTCAGTTGAATGTCTTTGTTACATTTTTAACACCAAATCTTGCAATTTAGTATAGTTAAGCAATATAAAATAATACTGAAATATCATTTTGTGATTAAAAAAATTCACAGAACTTATTTGTAATAATAATGTGCTTTTAATTCACAATATTGTGTAGGTAAGATAGATTTATACTATTGTTTAAAAATAATAAACGTTGTTAATATATTATCACCAAGTCATAATAACATTGATAATGGATTATTTAGTAAACAGTCAAGTTTTTAAAGCAGTTTAAAAATGAATTATTAATCTTCAGCAAAATATTGGGCATTCAGCAAGAATTTACACACAATATAAATTTTTAAGGATGGATAAAATTTTTTCCATCCCTCTTTGTAAAAACAGGTCTTTTTGAAAAGCTTATTCATTGTTTTTTTACTTATACAACATGAATACTAATTTAAAACTATAAATTAATGTTTAGGTTTTTCATTTTGCTAATTTAAACTGCTAATTAAGGAACAATATCAGTGGGAGGAACATGTATTTCTTTTATGGAGTCTTATTTTTCTCATAGCAATATTTTCTTTTAGTTAAAAAGCATATTTTATTCATATATTTGGCAATGCCTTCTTTAATATCTTAACTGTATACTTAGATTGGGATAAATGTTAAATTTTTATGGATTAACATTTTAACAATTTCCAAATCATTGGTGAAAATTATTCTTTTCCTCTACTCAGCAGAGAGAGTTGCTGACATGTTGAATGATATCACATATAATGTTGAGAAACTTAATTTGATTCTATGCTATCAAGCATGGTAAGGCATTCTTGATCTAGCCTAGTTTAGTTGCTACCACCTAGGATTAGAAGGCTGAACCTATATGCTATGAAGTTCCAACATGTTGGTCTAATTTAGTGTATAAAATTTATTACGTGATAAAAACGAGCATACTCAAAATTTAAATGGAATATTTATAAATTATTGCATCATTTACCCAGTAAATATTTCAGATGTAGTTTATATAAAAATGAGCATACTCAAAATTTAAATGGAATATTTATAAATTATTGCATCTTTTACCCAGTAAACATTTTCAGATGTAGTTTATATAAAGTTATATTGGGCTGAATGTAAGATCAGCTAGGCCCATCAAAGAAAAAGTGACCACTGAACACTGAGGTCGTTTAGCCTGGGTTTGAATCCAGGTGAGCGAACTGGTTGCATGGCGTTTATGTGGTTTTCCCTCAACTGTAATGTAGATATGAGCTAGTTTCCCATAGAAATTGCTTCTTGCATGCATGCCTTCCCTTAAGCAGGTACTGTTGTGTACTTTGCCATAATCGGATAAACCAGGCCATAGAATTAGTTCAACCAAAAGTTCTTACAGTGCCTTTATATTCAGAACTGTTGTGTCACAGACATATACTTCCAATTATAAAAAATTGTAAATGAAGCAGATATTCATATTTTGACATTTTTTAATTAAAAAAATTAGGAAAATTATGGAATATAAATTTTTTTGTATCATTCCTTGGTCCCCGTACCTATATTTAGAAAATTTTATACTCATTGTAATAAAATAGGACACAGAAATTTTATTGACTAATTTCAATTTTTTTTTTTTTTTTTTTTTCTTTTTTGTCATTTTTAGCTTGCTATGAAGGATTGACTAATAAATAAATTAGAATCATTCGAGATTACTTTCCTTCTTTAAAAATTGTTTAATGGTAATCTTTTGTGATTTATTAGTGTTTAACATTATTTAATTTATAATTTTTTTTACAATTGATATAGTGAAAGATTCTAAGTTTTCAAATGTTAAAAACACGTAACTGATAGATATTTTCGTGCAGCTCCCTTCCCCCCCCCCAAAAAAAAACTTCCCATCAATCCACTAGAAATATTTTTAATTTTTGCAAATCGCTATGAGCTGATACTGAAGTCAGCTAGTGTTTTCTAAATTCTTTAAGATTCTGAGACTACATTGCCTTTTTTGGGGGGAAAAGAAAAAAAATATTGATCAATGTTTTTTATGATCTGCATAGAAATGCTGAATAGAAATGATCAGCATAGAAAAATGACTTATTATATTAGCATCAAAAGTCTTATTCTAAATTAATATTTTATTTTAAATTACATGCAAATTTAAGCATTTCACTCTTCAGTTTTTGAAGGCCCTGAATATGATTTCAAACTCTAAAATGGAAAAATGACAGCCAATTTATAGAATTTTCCTGAATATAATTAAATATAAAGACTAGGAATTTTAACATTTTATTTTAAAATTTAAAACCTGAGAACATGCGTCATTTAAAGTACCTTTGTAATTGGAAGTGAATGTATGTGTTGCACAAATATAGGCAGCGTGAAGACTTTTGTGGACATAGTATATAAACCCCTTAAAGACTAGCTCACAGAGAACAAAGTGCAGTCACGGGACCGAACCCACTGAAATGGACTGTCGCCACCAGCCTGCGCATTTTCAGCAGTTGAGCCTAATTAAAAAAAAAAAAAAGTATAAAATTGGCATTTTGATATAATGACTTCAATTTTTGAAGTTGCATATTTAATCCTCTGAGTGGCATAGGATTTTACATCTGTCATGAAGACCGTTATTTAAACAGCATTTATTAATTTAATTTGTATAATTACTTATTTTAGTCTGCATTTTCATAAACTTGCATTCATTAAGATAATATTTGTATTATTAAAGAAAGTAAGAAAGCATACGAAATAGCAAAACTTCTGATGACCGGATAAACCCGGTCATGACGCTCAGGGGGTTAATGTACTTGTTTTTAATATGTGTCACTATTAAGAATATCACATTAATAGAAACAAATTAAACAGGCAAAATACTAAAATCGTTACTATACACACAGAAATAAATACTATAAACTTGAAAACAAAATTACAAATACGAAATTTAAAAAAGGAAACTGAGCAAGAATTATCTGTTGGTTATTCCAATTTAAAAATTCTGGTGTGTGTGGAATAATTCAAAGCAAGGATCGACACACAGTCCTACATTGCATATTTTGCACTCAAAATACGTTGTTTTTAAGCACACACAATGCATCTTCTACCTTTATTACCTTTTCCGTCAACGAAAATTTCTGGAAAATGTCTTCCAGTTAGACAGTATCTCAGTTACGTATCTCGGACTCTTAGCCATGGATAATGCAATGAAACTGAATATAAGCCCAAACATGTCCCAAAACTTCTTCAAAAGACAACCAGAAATATTTCATCCCCAAACTCTGTGTGATATCAGGTTTATATTAGAAAACTTCCTGTTTGTATAGATCGAAAAACAGTGTCCGCCACGATGACCAGAAAGCGATCAGGTAAAGACCCCCCCCCCACTGGCGGGATATCCGTTACTGATCAAGTCAATATATACGTTATATATAATTACATTATATGTAAAGTTAGGAATTTCTTTTCCCCCCTTTTTTTTGAGGGGGGGCTTTTGCTCTTTCCTTTTTTCGTTATTAGAATGTTATTAGATGTGGGTAAGTTCATCCAGCTTCTTGTTATTGTTATTGTTTATGTTATTTGCCTTTTTTGTTAGGAAAGTGCATTCAGCTGATTACAGCAGGTGTAATGTCATCGAACTTATATTAAAACATTATATATTATAATATAATGTCTGAGGCATTATATATAATGACCATCGAAAGCATTATATATAATGACCTATGAAATCGAGTGAGTAAGAATAAATAAAAACACTGGCTCTTTCCTGAGAAATGCAAGCGAGTAAGATGCATTACGTGTCGAGAAAGCTAATAGTCTTTCCCCTTCTGTAATAATGCTGTAATGTTACTTTTTAATTAACCTAGAAAGCTTAAGTTTCAAAATAAATAGATAAAAATTTGGAGTTAGGTTCGATGACATTACACCTGCTGTAATCAGCTGAATGCACTTTGCCCCAACAAAAAAAGGCATTCCTAATAACATAAACAAAAACAAGAAGCTGGATGAACTTACCCACATTCTAATAACAAAAAAAGCACAGAGCAAAAGTGAAAGAACAGAAACTAATGCCAGTACATGACGGTCGAATGCCATGTGAAAACAGTTACCATTTAGCACCATCTACTGGCTTTTAAAAATTCAAATAAATTGTTCATTCAAATTGTTACGCAATTTAAGTTTAACCTGTTTGTATACGTGGCACTGGGCTGTAGAGATCGATTGGAACTCTTCCCATATACGCAGCGCTGGGCTGAAAGGAGTGTGATCGATGTGTCACATACAGGGTGTTTGGGATAAATTTGACAGTTTCGTAAGGAAAAAGAAAATCTGCTTGTATGAGTAGTAGCGAAGGTCTTCATTGAGTGCAAGCTTCATAGTAGAGGCTGCAACATTCTTTTCACGTGACAAAGCCCGAATTCCAATGCCAGGGTCCTTCAACACTTGTTCCTGCAGATTTGCGAGGAATTCTGCTGTACGAACGCAATCAGATCGTCTGCTAGGGATCTTTCTTCTTGCTACACCCTTGTAGTCACCATTGCAAGTCTCTAGTTCATGCCCGGTTGTTTTTACTGTGTTCAGGGAGCATTGGGCAGCAGTCATAATATCCTTATTTTGATGGCCGGCACGAATCATCATGATGCAAGTTATTCTCTTCCATGATTCAGGTGGGTTCCAGACATCCATCCTTTCTGGCATCTTGTATATGAACGAAGAAGGGTCCAAACTTTTAAATGATGAGTAGTGTGTGTCAATATCTCCAACCTACGGAAAAATATAATCAATTATAAATATGTCAAATTTATCCCAAACACCCTGTATATGGAACGCTGGTCCTGAATGGGATAAGACACTTCCAGATTTAAATTGTTCCCCCCCTAAAAAAGCAGGGTATATATGACACGTATATGATTTTCAGAAGTGTGTTTGGGGGGGCTTTATTCATGTCAGTTCTGCTAAATCATATTGTAATTTAATTGCATAATGTAAAATTCCTTTTTTTTTTAAATCATATCTTTGTATATAAAAAAATTGTTTGCTAAGCAAATACATTACATGACTAGTTGATGTAAAATACATGCTGCCATGTCCAAAAAAGTTAAAGAGTTTTCTCTCCCTATTTCACTCATTCACACACACACACACAATAGGGTGTGCTATTACTGTTTGCAGTGCAACACAAACTTAGGACTTAGTTCTAAAATTTAGAATGGTTCCCTGAAGAAAAAAAAATTAAACTGAGAAAATAAACATGTGAATTAAATAAAAAAAACTACTGCTGGGTAAAAGTGTATTTTAGTTTTTTAAAAAGTCCTCTTATTGCTTAATTTCCTGTATTTCCTGAAAAAAGAATTTTAAGAATCTCGTTTTATGCAAAAAAGGCCGAGCTCTGTTTGTGTACATTATGCTTTCCCTTCTACCCAGCAAACACCAAAGTTAGATAGAATGTGATGAAATTGAAGGTCGGGATCGTAGAACTATGTTCATTTCAAAAGTAATGGACACAGAATGCCATCTAATGCTCTTTAAAAAGTGCTTCAGCTTAAAATGCCTGTATGCACCTGTCCCCTTAGTGCATTCTCCAGTAATAAATGGCTGAAACACCCATCTGTGAGAGACGTCTGTATTGAATCCATATGTGGGATGCCAATCTGGAAAGGGTTAATATGCATATGCATCTCTGAATCAATTTCTTTTAAATTGGTATTGCATACGAATGTATTGTGATTGATATAAATATGAGTATCAGTTTCATGAAATAATTATATATAACCTGGCTTTAAAATAACTATTTTATTTTAAAATGAGGTATTGCATGTATGGTGGTGGTTTTATAGCATGGCTTAATTAATAAAAATAATTTTAACTGATACATGTTGATTGAGATGTATGGTGTGTGTATTGCAAATTTAATAAACTTTGTATAATATAATATAAATCACATGAAACTTTAATAATGTGTTTAATATATTTTCTAAGAGATATTGCTTTTATACTCAAAGTAAGAATTAAAATCTCAGAGCTTCATTTCCTGTGTTTTATATCATATGTTTTATTAAATTTTTTTTCATGTAAAAGTAAAGTTTGATGCCTCAAACATAACCTTTTTTGGCATTCTGTCAAAACGCTTAGAATCATCCAGAAGGGGTTTTAATTACTTGCTGTGGGGCAGGAAGAGGGAATTTATTACCGAAGGAGTAAAAGTCCTTATATCGTGTGTGGGGGGGGGATCCTATGATCACATGCATTTTGCATCTTTGGTTCATGAGCAGAAATTAAGATTTGTATAGATTTAAAACCTGGAAATCTAGCAAGTTGAAATTTTTTTTCATAATTTATGTATTATGTATGAACAATGCATATGTCATCGTTTACTTTAAAATATGAGATCACTAAAAATCATAGAACTGTGTTTTTAACAGAGGTATACTTTTTGTACCATTGAAGAAAATTGCCGATAAGTTTTCACCTCATTTTAGCAGGTTATATCCATGTCATAGTTCATTTAATGTGACATTTGCCAGCATTGTCATCTTAACATTTATCAGTGTTTAGAAGAATATTTTCCATTCCCCCTCGCCTAAAATGAATAATAATGCATATAGATTTTAGTGCAAAAATTAAGAAAAAACCCTCATGATTATTAATTATGATTATATAATTAATTAAATAACTGTAATAGTTATTTATCATTGTATAATTAAACTAATTATTGAGAAATTTCTTTTTTCAGTGTATAATAATGTATTTACATTTAGTCTCAAAGATAAAAAAATTTACATAATAATTATTAATTCTAATATATAATAAATTTTATTTAATACAATTATGCAATAAAATACAACAATTAGTAATCATGATAAAAATTGTGATACAGTAATGTTTGTTTATTACATTTTATAATTTAATTATCTATATAGCAAATTAAAATTTTGAAAACACATGTATTTTTACTATTATATAAATAAAGGCACAAAATTAAGCACAATATAATGAAACAGTTCATTACAAATGATGTTCATATTTCAGCTTAGATTACTTAAAAGAAATTTTTACCTTAATTCCAGGGTGACCGACTCTGCCTGGAATTTTAATGACTCCCTCATATATATATATGTGTGTGTGTGTGTGTGTGTGTGAAGCTTATTTTTTTTTAATAAAAGAAGTAATAGGTGCTACAAAAAATCAAATTATTTGTATTAATTACCATTTATTATGAAATGGAAAAACTGGCATTAGTTATTTCTAAGATACAGTATAGCTTCGGCTAGATTTTCTGTGTTGGAGGGCCATAGATCCGATTTGATAAACTTCAGAGCTTATATAAAGACTCTGAAGTTTATCAAATCGGTTATAGATCCGATTTGATAAACTTAAGAAGAGTCTTTCCACACTAACTTGAGTAGGAGGAAGAGCTCTTACTGTTAGGGCTATTTCCTTTAACTTTTCAGGATAGATTTTTATAAGTTTCTAAAAGAGGTGTCTTGCAAGCAGCAATCATATTTCTCTATTTCTTCAAAGGCCGTGTGTAGAAATCTTGTTTGTATTTTTTCATTTTTATATCTAAAGGCTCCTGTTTTTTGTTTTATTTTCATTCGCTTTGCCTTAGCCTTTTCAATATTATTACCCAAAAAATATTTCTCAAAATCTAATTCACTTCAATGGAAAAGGATGATAGAGACTCAATTGCAATTATCTGCAGTTTGACTGTCCTGATTCAAATTCTCCAATTGTTCTGAGAATAATTTCATTTCTAATGAAAGTTCCTAGATGACTTTCTTTGCCTTTTTAATTTGTTCGTCATCCAAGAAAATTCGGTGTTTCGGATCTCCATATATTGAACCCAGCAAGATCTTATTGTCTAGCAAACTAGTTTCTCTTTTCTTCATTGAAGAAATGATTCCTTCTGCAATAAACCCTCCATTTCAGAAAGAACAAACATCCCATTCTTCCATTCTCGCTTCCTGTCAATTCTTCAAATTGCAGCTTTTTTATGGCTATATACGGTATAGAAAGAAGAAATAATTCTGCAGTTCTGCAAGATCATTTCACAGTCTTTCTGCTAGTAAAACATTAGGGTTATCTACGTCTCCTAAAAAAGTTCTTAATTCTAAAAAACCTTTTCATCATCAAATATGCACTTCTTTATCGTGTGGCTTGATATATAATCTCTCCTTTTCCTGCTCGCTTCCTAAGAATGGCATCAATTTTAGAAGTTCTTGCTGCTATTGCTGCTTACCTAAATTTACCAGTGAGATTTGTAACTAAATGAATCAGTTTAATCACTACTGGCAAATATGACATCCATCCTCCTCCCTTATATTTATTTATTAATAGGTCAATAAAATAGAAAATAACTATTTATTAAAGTATACAGTCCATAAATAAAAATAATAACTCAGCTTGTCATTAAAGTTTTTTCAATTCATTTTAATTTAATTTCAAATTCAAACTGTCCAATGAAAACTGGAGTCGAGTCGACCTATTTTTAGCGACTCTAGCTCCGACTCCTTTTACTCCAAAATCTGCCAACTCCACAGTCCTGCTTAATTCTGTGCTCTTTGAACATTATGAAAATAAACCGAAAAAAATCCCATTTCATGAATAAATCGGTCTGAATTGCACATGTAGCACTCGTGCTCATTACTGCAGTAAAGAAGATATGTGTGAAGGTATTTTCAGTATTTCTTTAATATGTAAATTTTGAATTTCTCCTTCATGCATTAATTTAAAGGAAACATAGATTCTATTTATATATATATCTAAATTATAAAATCACAGATGTATTCACAATATAAGGCTCTGAGGGAATAGAAGTTGCTCATATTAAAAAAAAGTAGTAGCAATCACTTTATTTTTATTTATTGTAGAAACTCAACGTCCACCTAGTAAAAGGAGAAAGCGAAAGTCGTCTGCCACAAATAATGCCAATAGTGCAGGAACGGGTTCTGGCAAAAAGAAAAACATGTCACCTGGGCCTCCTAACTTTTCACTTGCTTCACAGGTTAGTAAAAATGCAATTTATCTCTTTATTTATCTTTGTTTTTAGCATCTGTTTTCAAAATAGTATGCCAGGAATTCGAAATAAGACTGTGAGATAGTTTCCAAACTGTATAACATGAGTTATCGAAGATAGTTGCTTTTCTTTTAGTAGGTCTTCCCTTACAGAAGATGATCATCCCATGTCCAGAACAAAGCATTTCTAAAGTCCAGCAATTTAAAAAACCAGATATTAGGGGGAGATAGTTTTAAAACCAGTGGGGTTAATTTACAGAAGATGAATGCCGATGCTATTAAATTTTTTATGTTAGAATTTGACTAAAGGCAAACTAGAAAGTCATGTTTTAATAACTGTACAATAAAGAAGGATGTTAAAATATGACTTTTTTTTTTGCTTGTATCCGTAGTTAGATTTCTCCAAGATTTTAAGCTTTTACTTTTAGATTACAGTCATATGCCATAATTGCTTAGAAAATATAGATTTCTAAATGAAATCTACTTTCTAGTTTCATAACATATTGTGTTATAACATACTGTTTCTACTGTTTTATAACTACTTTATAACATACTGTAAAGTATTTTATAAATATGCTGTTTAATATGTTATATTTTTCTGAATGCAAATATAAACAAAATGTTTGGTAAAGGGGCAAGCATAAATTTATTTTAATAACTGGAGCTAGGTGAATTTTGATGGTAAACTAGTTACATGAGTAGGATTTCTAAGGTAATATTTGCTGCTTGATTTATTTCTAAAAATTATTATGTATTAAGAAATATATCAATATTTGTGTTTCATTATACTAAATTTTTTTATGCTAATTTCGAAAATTTTTTAGATCTGTTTTTAGTACAAGTAGCCAAATTAATTCTTGTTGTATAAATTTCTGTTCATAATTGAATAAATATTATCTAAATAATAAAAAATATATATTCACATTTGATGCAGTGAAATAAATTAGTTGAAAATTGTTTTAGCCTTATCTGATAAGCCATAACACAGACCAAATGGACTTCCTTGATTTACACCTTTTCAAAATTAAATACCATCTTCCATATTCATTACTTATAGAATACTCATGGCATTTCTTGTTTATTAATTGATTCATAGAACTTTAAGAAAATGTTGCTAATATACAGTTTAATGTGCATAACTGTATGTATTAATAACTCCTGTGTCAAAGACTTGTAATGCCACATAATAATAATTACAGCACAGTTTTAATTATACTGAGTGTATACATAGCTCTTCTGGAGCTTGTTCTAAAAAAGAGATCTTGATAAAAACGTGATATATTTGGTATTCAGACTAAAAGAAAAAGATTAAACAATAATAGTTCAAATAGCAACTAGATCTTACCAAAAATTTATGCGAATTAGGAATTGAAAAACAGAAATTTAGTTTTGCAATATATTTTGAAAGGTTTAAGGTCAAAATCATAAATTTTTTAAAAAGTTAGTATGACTAGTGCTTTTGTAAGGAATTTCCTCGTATCATACAAGCATGTCTTCATGGTATAATTGGAAGCATATCTGGCTAACAACTGGAGGTCCTGAGTTTGAATTCTGGCAATAACCATGACTGATTTTTCACATTTCTTGCTGCAAAATAGGTGTAATGATTCTACAAGGTAGCCGGATAAAGCTGGCCCAGAAAAGTGTTTTTAGAATTTCAGGAAAACACTGCTGTAAGCAGCAGAATTAATTAGAAATTGGAATTGGCAATTCATGAAACAAATATGCCGAATTGTTTGCTCAAGATTTTAAGAATGGAAGTTTGTAGGAAAAACTTCCAGCAAAATATGCAGTGGAAAGCTTAGAGACAAAATGACATGAAACAGACTCTATAGCAAAAAGCAGTTTTCCTATTCATTATCGAGCGCAAATTTAGTGTTAGAATTATGCACATTTTCTGAACCATTTTTATTTTGCCCACCCTGTATAATATTAATATTTTCCCCAAAATGGAAAGATATGTAATTATGGAGGTGTTTGATGTCTAATCTTGGCAATCGCAAGTGTATGTCCCACGTTCTTCAGTAAATGCACAAAAACTATTATCCATTTCATGAAGCACTAGGTTTTGCAGTTCATTTTGCATTATCTTTCTGTGTAATGTTTCAAGTCTTGATCAGACTTTAAAGAATGGTCTCTATCTAATAGTGTAAAAGTTTTATGTTTATATATATTTTTTTCAAGCTAGAATTGAATCTCTTCTGATATATTACATATAAATGCTGCGACTGTTACATACCATATAACTCATATTAAATGTAATAAAGTATTATATTTTCTTGATGTATTTCTAAAGAATCATTCTGAAAAAAGCTAAATGGAAATCTGTATAACGTCCAAAAGAATGAAATGGGATACAGTCTTTGAATCTTTCAAAATACATTTTTTCCAAATGAATAAAAGTGATCAGCCTCAGAACTTACTGTATTTAAGAATTACTTGCATCTTATGATTTATTAACAACATTTATATTCCATTTATGTTAATGGTATGTGTCCACTTTCAGTGTTTTATTTATATATATATATCCTGGCAAGTCCTATTGACTGTATAGTGTGAATTCATAACTTGTTGGTAATTGTAGGAAGCTTATTATTTATCATGGGTTCCTGCTGTATAACTGGACTCTCATAATGAAAAATGGAACTGCTGATGCTGGTTTTACAGGCAAAAGAGTTTTAATAAGTTTTCCATATGCTTGACCAGTTTATTTTCCAGTGTAAATTTCTTGCTGCAGTGATACTTAAAATTTATAATTTTAAGTACACAGGCCATATTATGTATTAATTATGCGCACAGGCCATAATTTATGATTGCCTGACACATGTGATGTTTTAAATCTTTTACATGTCTCTCTGAAACATTTTATGTGGCTGTTGATATCTCCACATTACAGTTTCAACCCATAATTAACTGAAATAGCTTTCACACTGAGTGCATTATTTAAATTTATTGTAAGTAGTTTTGATCATCTGTATTAATAATTTAGTCTGTGTGGTGTTATTTATTTTCCTGAGCAAAAAAATTTACTTCTCTTTAAGTTTTTTCTATATTTCGAGTGATATCAGTAAGATACATAACAAAATTAGTTAATATCTCTTGATTAGAAATGGTTGCAGTTGGTTTTGAGTAGACTTTATTTAATTATAATAACCTCATGTACTGATTCATTATACAGCACATCAAATTTCATTGCAAATATAATTTTTGCTGTGGAAATCTTTTACTTTTGGAATGTTTGAATAATTATGTGAATGTGATCCATAAGTTTGTACTACAGGGTGGGGAAAAATTAGTGTTTTTAATCTTTAAAAGTTTCTGAAAAATTAAAAGCATTTTGTTCCTGTCTTGTCTTTTGTCTCTGTCTAAAAAAGATATATTATTTATCTTACTCATTTTGCACTTAAATTGTATTTCTATTTGAAGAAAATGAAATTTCATTGCATCGTCTTTTATGGTCCAATTAAAACATAAAAGATTAGTTACATAATGTTAAAATTTGTTTTCATAATGAGAGCTAATCTGTTTCTGCTGTAAATTGCAGAAAATTTATGTAGCAAACTTATGTACTGTTTTTGCAAGATTTGCTTTCCATATAAATGTTCATTCTTGGTCCTCTTCTTTTATTTTCACTCTGTTGAAGTCTTTTTATTAAGAAAAACCTATTTTGGGAGGAGGGAAAGAAAGAAAGTTATATCCATTATATTAAATAATAAAATATATGAATTATTTTTTATTGTTAAAATCTTATTTTTATTTTTACTTTTTAAAGTTGAAATTCGGGAAATTTTAATTTTTTAAAGGTATGATATTAATTTTAAATAAAAATTTTGAATTTCTTTTCTATTCTTAGAATCCCAGCTCTCAGCCATAACAAAGTTTCATTGTGGCAAGTATTTTAGTTTTCTTTTTTTTTCTATTGTATTCAGCATTTTGATCAATAATTGATGATCATTTAGGATGGCTTAAACAGTGCACTGATTGGTGCATTTTGAACATAACAGTCAACTTTCATTGCCACAATTTATAAATATTTTGTTTGATTACTGCATGTTTATATATTCAGATATCACATGTAAAACGGTGATAACATCAGATGGAGATTTTGAATTTATTTTATGTTGCATCTGTAGATTATTTTTACACAAAACTGGCTTGTTTTAATTTTTTTTTTTTAATTAAGTTATTTGGATTCAGATTTTTTTTATTAAATTAACTACGCATGTTTGAAAGTATTACATTCAAAATAATAAAAGTAGAACAGCTTGTTTTCATACATTTTTCATTATCACTAAAATTACTCTTATAATTCTTAATTTGATATATAAGTTGTACTTATTCAGTTGTAGCAGATGGGAGGAGGGGGGAAAAAAAACTGTGATTTTGTAAGTTTAATAGAAAGGGTGAGCATAAATTTTTAATGACTTTAAGGTGTTATTTACTGTAAACTTATGAGATATCAAAGTGCTCAGCATTTTTTGGAGAGAGGTATATTTTAATTTCATAAAATAACATAACGAATTAACTGAAGCATGTCCATAGTATTTGGGATAGTAAGCTTCGATTTTTTCTGTGTTCATGCATGTCACATATACCATAATCAGGGTAAGCCTGCAGTCTAATAAAATTGTGATTAACTATGTGATCACTAAGATAAGTATTGCACGCAGTTGTATGAAGCACGTTACACATAGCATCACTACTACAGAATGGATCAATTTGGGCCTGTTTCCTTTTGGGCTGTACAAGCATTGGAATATGTTAAACCAAGATTTTGTGATACATTCAAAAGTTTTCAGCATGCAGTTATGGTAAAATGTGCTGGTAGTCTTTGCAAATGTTCATCATGCCTTCCTTTTCATGAACTCATGTTTATTCAAATATTTCATCTCTAAATTTTTTCTCATCTTCAGTCTAAAAAAATTCTTACAGTGGTTTACATTTTATGCATATTATACAGTACATGGTAACTGAGTCTGGAGTAGATGT